AAAATTCCGTCAAAAATGGCTAGTTAAAAAGTCGAAATTTGTCTGGAGAAAAAAAAACCCACCCCGAGCACAAATATTCCGTTACTTTCGTATCGAAAGTCGGAACAACAATAGTTTTGAAAAAACGATGAACAAAAAGCAAGGCCTTAGGGCTCAACAAATTGAGGAAAGCTGCTGAAAAAGAGATGGTTGACAGCAGTCTGGCATGCTATCAAGACAAGCATGACCTCGGAAAACCCGCGAAGTGTTTAAGGTGTTGAGAGAGAGACTCTTTGGAGTGTTCGTTTGAATTGGTTGGAGAAAAGGAGAAATTGGCAGTTTCAAATTTCAAAAGCATATATTCAAAGCTGAAAAAGGAATTTTCCATAGCATGATGAATTGAAAAAGACGATCAAAACAACGCCATTAGGACATCAACTATGCACGAAGAGAACTAAAATGTAAGCTTCCATGGAAAAATATCGAGGTCGACAACTTAATGGTTTGACAAAAAGACTGGATAGGGCAGCTAAGAACGGATATTAATACATACGACCTCAACACTAATTAAGACAAGGATGAACTGTGGCACAATCCACTCACCAAACATAGGTTCTCGGATAGTAACGAGCGTAAAGCAAATTCGATTGTCATAACTCGCAAAAAGTTCAATATACCAATGAAAACTATAGAAGAATGTTTAACAGGAGATAATGAACAATCATCAGCTTAACAACCATTCAGATCCGTTTGTCCGGACCTATGATATTTGCGATTGCTAAAAGATGTAAAGTAAGTCTGTAGAGATACCCCAGCACGTTAGGGTCAAACAATGAACGCAGTGCAGAAAGTGATATAGTACAAGGCCAGCTCTGCTGCCATAGTTGCTCTATTAGAATGTCAATGATCAATCAATGTTATGAGAAGCAACGATACATTTATTACGGTACATTCAACGGGCAAAATATTACTGATTGTGTCGTCATGTCATGAACTCGTCAACCGCGTTTCCAGATAGACCAAACGAGCTTCGTGTGTAAAACTTCCATTTGGTAAGACTAGTTCTAATGACTTGATAGAGTTAAAAACAAATGACTTTGATCACCTGGACTTCATATGAGAGAAACTTAGCATAACTTATGGTAAAACAAATTGAGCTGAAAAGACACGCCTTTTAGGTAGAATTCGCAAAACAAAATGCACCATGTAGATTCGGACAAAATAAAGCAACTTTTTCTTTCTTCCAAATTTTTTGCTTTTTAAAGTAGACTAGGTTTTCCCGGGAATTTAAATTGATCCTGTGGACAAAACCAATCTGCGCAATGTTATGCATTAAAATAAACGACTACTTAAGTTTGCGATAACAGGCAAAGTTATAAATGTTTGCCGTCTCTTCTAAATTAGACATCATTGCTATTGTAGATGATAAATGCGATTCGCATGCTTTAAATAAGCGCAGTTGTTTTTAGTTCAAACATATGCCTTAAAAGTTCCTAATTCATAAGATGACCTAACAAAAACTCAGCAGCCTTATTTCTTTAAGTCAAGATGTTTTAAGCCTCGTTAAAACTAAATTAATCAAATTTACAAATATTCTAAGCTGAAGTTGTCTCTTTAAAAAAGACTTCAATCAATTAATGGCAAGAAATTAAATCGTATTCATAGAGTAATCTCTGAAATGCTAATTAAATTTTAGAACAAGCACCTAAATTCATCCAAGAAATTTGGTTTATCCATCGACTTTTATGGTCTAGGACGTATTTTGTTGAGACTGCCTTTCGATGCTTTGTTGCTAATTGTGTTAGCTTTACAGACGTCCGAATAAAGTTTACTCGGCTTTGATTTGCTTCGTCTAGCTGAACTAGATTGAATCAACGCCCTAGTGTATTTCTCCTTCTTCCGCAGAAAAATATCTTCGGTCTCTAAAAAAGTCGGTTCTTCCATTAACTCCAGAAGATCAATCCCGGGCTGAGCTTCCGGAAGTTGCTGGATAAACGAATCCAAAACATCTTCTTTCGGCTTTACTGGAAGCTTTGACAACTCTCGTCGGAACCGAATCACTTCGGCGTAATTTATTTCGCGATTGGGCGAGTCGTGTAAATTCTGACCAACTTGAGATGCCGACTTGAAGTTCAGCTCTGAGTCCGAATCGTCTTCGTCGTCTAATGGGTCCTCGCACTCATCTTCTGATGTTGTGTAGTCGTCTCTAACGGACGCCTTCAACCCGTTGTCCAATTTCCGAGTTGTTTCCTTGCGACTAGTAATAATTTTTTTATTTTCTCGCAATTCAGGGCTCAAATCATGCCTAAGCTTGAGTAACTCTTCGCTTTTGCGGTTTTCCAGAGATTGCTTTGAAGGGATTTTTATTTTTTTAGCTTGAAATTCGTGTTTCGTAGTCAAATTCAGAACATTGGCAACACAGTTTCCTATAGTCGGGTTCAGAAAATTGTTCGGTGGCACTCGCTTTCGTGGCGAACTGCACTTATATCTTCCTTCGTCAACGACACAAATTTCATCGTTATTTTTCGGATTCAACAAAGTCACAGGCTCAATTGTTTCACAGTAATTTTTAATATCAACAGTCTGATTGTTATTCAAGTCAACTTCCGGTGCGAGGTTGGCGGGTTTCACTGGTGGCGAGGGTAGAAACTTCAGCAACACATTCTTATATGAGTCTTGGCTTCCGATTGGTTGTTTCGCCTCTTGCGGATTTTCAGATTCTTCAGCATTAAGAAACTTTTTCGAGCTTCGCTCCAGATCAAAACTGGGGAACTTTTTCTGCTGCTTTCCGCTGCTGAAAAATTTTGATAACTGTTGTTGATACTTTGAATACTTTTTTTCATTTGGCGAATTCATAATTCCAACTAACTGAGACGAATGACCTGAAACGCTCCGTAAACATCAGACGGATATTGGCTGCGGTCACCATAGTGCGCAATAGATCTTGACATTAAGAAAAAAAACTAACACAAAGGCGAATCGGAGCTACGCAACACTTGCGACACTAAGCAAAAAAGCCGCTAAGTCAAAAATCTAACTCGAAAATGATTTAAAAAACTAATCTATCAAAATAAAAAAAAACTTCATTTGAAGTTGCAGAAAAATTTGAAATGCAGACAAGCTCAAAAGTTAACAGTTAGCTGAAGAAAAAACAGATGGAGCAGATACCAGTTTCAGTCATTCTGTGAACACCGCTGTTCCAGTAGCCCGGTTGCACCACCCTAGCTTATCGCAGGGTTAAAAAGTAAAACCCAATTTCAGAAAAACAATCGAGAAAAGTCACCGGCATTCAATAAGCTTTAAGTTTCATTTAGCGAGCAGTCACTAAGCTGACAACAATTGGGTAGACGCCCATTAATCCAAAAACAAAGAAAAATGCCCTTAATTTTTTTTGAGCGATTAAGTTTCAAAACATAGACTAACAGGACTAGTGTGAATTATAGTCAGAATTTTTTTACCCTGAGGCGCAGCCGAGCTTGCGATACAAAAACAGAAAACCAATAAGCTGAAAAAATCGTAAAAATCTGCACGAACACTCTCATCACCTGTTTCGTCGACAAATTTCTCAATCTCAGGTTTGGCAGGGTTGTTTTCGATAAAAGCAGCTAAGTTTCCAAAAAACGATCCAAAACTCAAATGAATTTAATTTTTCCGATAACTAAACCAACTTTCTATAGAAAATTGGAGTGAAGGATTCGCACAACCTGCTTTTTCGACAGAACCCTTAATTCAAGATATGAGAGGGTAGTTTTTGAGAAAAATAGGAAAATTTTCAAAATAAGACCGAACTGTCAACAAATGGCCTTTTCTGAGGACACAAATTATTTCGATTCAAATTAGGACGTACCGATTTATGTACAATAGATCCCCATTTTTGTAGAAGAGTTCATGACATTGAAATCTTCATCTCAGATTTGGCACGGTAGTCTCTGAGAAAAAAAACCCAACAAAATGAGTTTAAAAAAAAACAAGAAAATGAGTCCAACATTCCCATTTTTAAATTTTCGAAGGCCTTTGAAGGTGGAGTAATGTTAAAAGAGACTATGCAAGTATGCAGACATAAAAATATAACAGCCGGTCTTTCATTGGTGCCAACTTTCTGAAAATCTTTGAAGAAGTTTTCGAGAAAAAACAAGAACTTCAGCGAAAAGTGAAAAAATTTGCCAAGTCCTCTCAAAAATAATAAAATAAAGAAATACACTTTCACAATACCTGATTTTATCGAACAAAACTTTTTGCCCTCAAAACTACGCAATAGAAAATGATTATGCGATAACACATCAGCCGAAACCAATTAATCGAAAAAAAAAAACGTAAAACTATTAAAAATCATGCTTGGAAAGCCGACAAATTACAGAACTTTCAATTTTAGTAACAAAGAAAACTTCAAATAAAAATTAACTCCATGCTTAACAAAATAAACCGATAAAAAACAGTACCAGATAATATAAATTTAATTTAAAAAATGGAAATTGAACCAATGGAAACTCGGCCAAAAACCACGAACACAAAAAATTTTTAAAAAATTTCGATAAATTATTTTGAAAAACTACGCCTATTTACCACCTAAATGAAGCTTGTTTGTTTTGAATTTTCATAAAACTGTGCATGTCCTGAAATTTACCATTCCTAAAAAAATAACCATCACGCTGACCGATCGTCCTTCACTATCTTACAGGAAGTCACGTCTCCATATTTGTTAGCCAGGTCAAATAACTCCTGTAATAAACGAGAGACAGGATTACAACCGGGAATATTCACTCAAAAAAACGCTCGATGAGATTTTAAAATGCACATCATACAATTTAGGATTGAGTTGTTGAAGTATCTGGCAATAAATTAATTTCAATTGAGCTGTTAAAGAGCTTAAATTTATAAAGGCATTTATGCATGAAGCACTTCTGTATTTAAAAGAGCATTTTAAGATCAAACAAAAGCGAAAAAGAAGACCTCTAAGTGTGTCTAAAAGAAGACCTGAACATCGCTCAGCCTCATTTTTGTAACAGGATTGCTACGAAAACTTATTTGATTCTAAAAACGTGAATATAGATAGCAACGTTCTCATGAAACGCAATGCAATTTCAGTTCAAAACAGAATAACATACATTTCATTCAAATTTAATACTGCTAACACTAACAATGAAGTAATAAGCATGCAACAATTCAAAATCGAACAGTCTGAAATAAACAGATTAAAGAAGTATAAACAGGGTTGATTCCATTCCTGGTTCAGCATTCAATGCGATACCAAATGATTTAAATAAACAGATTAATAGTTTTAAAAAGCTCGCAAATGCGTGATTGCTTCGTGAAGATTTTATCTTCTCGCCACCCACATTTTTGAGTTTCATTTTTACTTTCGGCTTCCCGATGAGCTTGACCTCTTTCGGCCATGCGAACTCTTCGGCGAAGAAAAGGATCGCGACCTTGACCTTTCTTTCTCTTTTTCTCGGTCATGCTCGTTTTCCTTTCTTCCGTTTCGCGACCTTGAATCTGACCTTGACCTCGATTTGGATCTGGACGATGATCCCTTCCTATTTTTCCTCTTCGAACGAGACGACTCCGCCTGTCTCAGCTCACATTTCATTTGTCGGCCATTCAGCGTCTTTCCATCCATCTTCTCAAGAGCTCGCGAAAGACTGGGTTCATTTCGGAACGAAACGATTCTGAAATCAAGGATATTTAATACAGATGGCGTATATTTAGCATCACTTGGAAAGCTTATATGAGAGGCAAGTTTCAAAAGCCTTAATAGCGAAGGTGAAAAAAAGCGTGAAAGCTTTCGGCCATCGAAAACTGAAATAAAAATCTTCTGTTTTATTGTGATAAATTTATTTTTTACCAGTGAAAATAGCCAAAATTGATTGTCTTCTGTAGATTTCTTCTTATCGAAAAACGAAAAGCTGATATTTCCAAAAGGAGAGAACTTACGCTGACCGATCGTCCTTCACTATCTTACAGGAAGTCACGTCTCCATATTTGTTAGCCAGGTCAAATAACTCCTGTAATAAACGAGAGACAGGATTACAACCGAGCATATTCACTCAAAAAAACGCTCGATGAGATTTTAAAACGCACATCATACAATTTAGGATTGAGTTGTTGAAGTATCTGGTAAACAGGGCTATACAAACCATTAACAGATCACAGACCTTTTGTTCTTAGAAAGACCCATCCAAGACAAGTCAATCCAAATAGCTAGGAAGGTTGGAGGTCACATTTATAACTCATATTTCAACACAAGATGTTCCTTCTACCAGCCCAATCAGTCATTTCTCCAGCATAACAAAAACTGGTTTTATAAATATCTGCATTAAGTAGGCTTGGCAAAAAGCAAGACACATTTTAGACACAGTCACAGTGAGAATTTCTGTCATCATGAGTAAGTACGGATCTCTACCGGAGTCTCTGAGCAGACGTATTCTGAAAGGTCTTCTGTAATTCGGATTCGGCACCTCGTAATCATGTGCGCTTAGGCGTAGTATATGCTGCAGTATGACCTAGTTTGAAACATCGCCGGCGGCACTACAAGGCATATTGGGAGATGAAATAGCAAAAAAGGAGGTCAAAGGTCAAGTAGCTAGTGGTGGGAGTAGCGAATGATAGGACACAGATGGAGAAGACGTGTCGCAGTGAATGTAGCAGCAGGAGTAGTAGAATGAAGCAGCGATAGAGATCAGAGGAAGAGTAGCTTCGCCTTCACTACACTCATGGTCCTGCAAGTACACTTACTAGCACCCAATTCGTAAATGGGGAGGGGAGGGGGAGTTTATGTATTCTAATATTTGAAGTTCCGAATGAGATACAATTTTCAACCAATTAAACTCCTTAAAACTGTGCAAAACTTTTTCCGTTCCCTTTTTCAATTTTCTGTTCCCAAATCAAATTTCACGCTTATTTTGAACTCTTTGAAACTTTGTCGTTTGGAATTTCAACAATGAGAATTTTCCTCTCTTGAAGTAACTCGCTCACCAGAACATGTTTACCTGACATTTGAAAATTTGCGTATCAACTTAACTTTAGGCTTCCCTGCTACTTTTTCTTTTTATCTTAACTATTCGTCTTTCATCAAGCAGGAGAAGTCTAAGTTTAAATTGATCTCAACAACTATTATAAAATTTGTAAAGTCAGGGCACAAAAGGAAAAGAAATACTTCACACACTCATGGGTCGAAAGAGTCTCGCATTGGAAAGTGATTTTGGAGCATTCTAGGGTTTCAAACACAAAATCATAGCTGGTTCCAGATATTTTTAGTTTTTACCGGCAACATTTTTAACAAATATTATCAGAGCGACATACATATGGTAGCCGGGTTCTCTTTTCAATAACATCTACCAACATCCGTTTTTTTTAAACCAATAACTAAAACTAGCTTTTCAAAAGAGGTCAACTAAAAATTTCTACATGGTAATTGAAGGATATCTATTCTGATCTAGCAAAATCTCTATCAGATTTGCACTCACAGTCTTTCCTGTACGCGATGAGAGGTTTGTAACTAGCATCTCGTAACTCCTCGAATCACTTCTGCTTCTGTTTCGGTTTCTGCTCCTACTTCTAGACCTCCGGTCGCGAAAACTTCCTCTGCGACTACAAAAAAAATTAAAAATCAGAATTATAAGATCAATTTATTATGCCTACCACCTCCACCTAAAATAGGCCATGAAGAGATCATCCACCCAACTACATAATTTTCATCAGAAATATCTTTGTGACTGTATAAAAAATAGTCCGAAATTGTTCGTAAAAAATTGTCTGGCAAAACTGCCCGAGCACAAATGGTTTCGCCACATTCTCCGGAAGCCGGAACTGTAAAACTGAACACAAAAGAAAACATAAAAATAAGCGAATTCGGCTGGAAAAGGTTGACTCTCGGTTAGAAAATATGTAACTTCGTTTGAGAAGCGTTGGCTTGTGAGAGCAATAACCTGTAAAAGTCATCGTCTCTGTTGCTGTTCTGTTTGCTCCAGTCTGTCCCACGAGCTCGTTCTACTGAGATTCTAAAACACAATCAAGACAATGCAGTATTTAAGCACATGTAATTAGTTGCAGTATAGGTCAAGTCGAACGGTCCTTGGTGACAGGCCCTTAAAACATGGGCCTGTCATGTCAGGAAAGTTTTTGGCTTTTTTGAAATTTCCAGCCCTCGTAAACTTATATCAATTGTTCTTAAAATTGTTTGCTCTGCTAATTTTATGAAAGAAAAAGATTCAAACCTATTTACACTGGATTCTGACATTTTGCGGATCAACCGTACAATTTTCCCCCAAACTGATTTAGAGGGAGAAAATATGGATTTTTCAGAAGCTTAATTTGAGTATAGCCTTAGATTTGTGCATAATTAACCGTATTACTTTAAAAAATTGAATTAAAACAAAACAATAATCTAGGTAATTAACAGCATACAAACGCAATCCCGCATGAAAACAATTTCATTTGCGCGTTTGTATGAAGTGCATATTTTACACAAATTTAATATTCAGAATTAATACCTGTTTTTGTTGGGGGACCGATTGTTTAGCAGACAAATCTTTTAGCATAAAAACTAAAATACGGGGCTTTTAGCAGACTTTGATTGACAAGCAATTAGGTGAGGGGCTCCAGCAAGTCTGGGTTGAGCATCATTATTTCACGCTTTTTAAACAAAACTTGCACTCATTTTAGCAAGTTTCAAACTATATCTCAGTTCATTCTCAATGAACTTCTCAAAATTTCAAGGCAAAAATCGTGGGGAAAACCTATTATGCAATGATTTTTGGTTAAAAAACAAAAAAAGGTTTACTCAATATAAAAATGTATTGACAATAATTGGGGATCTAGACTTTCGTTTGATTTACAGAAAATTATCATTACAAAATTGCCTTCTCGCCATAATCATTTACCTTCTAGCCATAAAGCGATTCTTATATCAAGAAAGCAAAATTTTGATATTTGCAACCGACTTTGGCTTAAAATTTTTGGCGTTTTCAAAAAACTGTCTGAATGATGAAACTTTTAAGACGACTCTACCTCCATTTTTACCAAATTTACACCATATTTGGGTCATCGAAAGAATGGAAAATTCCAGTTGTTTGGGCCTTACTTGACGAAAAAAACTGAAGAAATATACCAAGATGGGAAATGTGGAACGTTTTCGATCGACTTGTCGACGTTAGAGTTACGAACGTTTGCGAAGGATGGAATTCAAGCTTGAATAAATTTGTAGGCACTTTTGGACCAAATTGTTGAAAAATTTTGAAAAAATTATTGTATGAGGAATTTCAGTCTCGTCTGCAAATACGACGTGCGAACCGAAGGGAGTGCCCGCCTTTTAAAAACTAAAATTTCGAGTATTGGGACGGTGTAGCTCGAAATTTTAGTTTTTGTACGGATTCTGACATTTTGCGGATCAACCGTACAATTTTCCCCCAAATTGATTTAGAGGGAGAAAAAATGGATTTTTCAGAAGCTTAATTTGAGTATAGGCTAGATTTGTGCATAATTAACCGTATTACTTTAAAAAATTGAATTAAAACAAAACAATAATCTAGGCAATTAACAGCATACAAACGCAATCCCGCATGAAAACAATTTCATTTGCGCGTTTGTATGAAGTGCATATTTTACACAAATTTAATATTCAGAATTAATACATGTTTTTGTTGGGGGACCGATTGTTTAGCAGACAAATCTTTTAGCATAAAAACTAAAATACGGGGCTTTTAGCAGACTTTGATTGACAAGCAATTAGGTGAGGGGCTCCAGCAAGTCTGGGTTGAGCATCATTATTTCACGCTTTTTAAACAAAACTTGCACTCATTTTAGCAAGTTTCAAACTATATCTCAGTTCATTCTCAATGAACTTCTCAAAATTTCAAGGCAAAAATCGTGGGGAAAACCTATTATGCAATGATTTTTGGTTAAAAAACAAAAAAAGGTTTACTCAATATAAAAATGTATTGACAATAATTGGGGATCTAGACTTTCGTTTGATTTACAGAAAATTATCATTACAAAATTGCCTTCTCGCCATAATCATTTACCTTCTAGCCATAAAGCGATTCTTATATCAAGAAAGCAAAATTTTGATATTTGCAACCGACTTTGGCTTAAAATTTTTGGCGTTTTCAAAAAACTGTCTGAATGATGAAACTTTTAAGACGACTCTACCTCCATTTTTACCAAATTTACACCATATTTGGGTCATCGAAAGAATGGAAAATTCCAGTTGTTTGGGCCTTACTTGACGAAAAAAACTGAAGAAATATACCAAGATGGGAAATGTGGAACGTTTTCGATCGACTTGTCGACGTTAGAGTTACGAACGTTTGCGAAGGATGGAATTCAAGCTTGAATAAATTTGTAGGCACTTTTGGACCAAATTGTTGAAAAATTTTGAAAAAATTATTGTATGAGGAATTTCAGTCTCGTCTGCAAATACGACGTGCGAACCGAAGGGAGTGCCCGCCTTTTAAAAACTAAAATTTCGAGTATTGGGACGGTGTAGCTCGAAATTTTAGTTTTTGTACGGATTCTGACATTTTGCGGATCAACCGTACAATTTTCCCCCAAATTGATTTAGAGGGAGAAAAAATGGATTTTTCAGAAGCTTAATTTGAGTATAGGCTAGATTTGTGCATAATTAACCGTATTACTTTAAAAAATTGAATTAAAACAAAACAATAATCTAGGCAATTAACAGCATACAAACGCAATCCCGCATGAAAACAATTTCATTTGCGCGTTTGTATGAAGTGCATATTTTACACAAATTTAATATTCAGAATTAATACATGTTTTTGTTGGGGGACCGATTGTTTAGCAGACAAATCTTTTAGCATAAAAACTAAAATACGGGGCTTTTAGCAGACTTTGATTGACAAGCAATTAGGTGAGGGGCTCCAGCAAGTCTGGGTTGAGCATCATTATTTCACGCTTTGTAAACAAAACTTGCACTCATTTTATCAAGTTTCAAACTATATCTCAGTTCATTTTGAATGAACTTCTCAAAATTTCAAGGCAAAAATCGTGGGGAAAACCTATTATGCAATGATTTTTGGTTAAAAAACAAAAAAAGGTTTACTCAATATAAAAATGTATTGACAATAATTGGGGATCTAGACTTTCGTTTGATTTACAGAAAATTATCATTACAAATTTGCCTTCTCGCCATAATCATTTACCTTCTAGCCATAAAGCGATTCTTATATCAAGAAAGCAAAATTTTGATATTTGCAACCGACTTTGGCTTAAAATTTTTGGCGTTTTCAAAAACCTGTCTGAATGATGAAACTTTTAAGACGGCTCTACCTCCATTTTTACCAAATTTACACCATATTTGGGTCATCGAAAGAATGGAAAATTCCAGTTGTTTGGGCCTTACTTGACGAAAAAAACTGAAGAAATATACCAAGATGGGAAATGTGGAACGTTTTCGATCGACTTGTCGACGTTAGAGTTACGAACGTTTGCGAAGGATGGAATTCAAGCTTGAATAAATTTGTAGGCACTTTTGGACCAAATTTTTGAAAAATTTTGAAAAAATTATTGTATGAGGAATTTCAGTCTCGTCTGCAAATACGACGTGCGAACCGAGTGGAGTGCCCGCCTTTTAAAAACTAAAATTTCGAGTATTGGGACGGTGTAGCCTTATATGTCGAAAAACTCAATGAAAAATTCATTTTGTTGGACTCATTTTATGTTAAACTTGTTACTTCCGTTGGTTTTTGTTGATCTGCATTGATAAAATTCAAAATTCTGCAATTTTGAGTCTTTGTATCTGATAATGAAGCTTTAATGAATGAAGCTTTCTGATTGGTCAATTTTTGAGTCTGCTAAAAAAACCGGTCTGCTAAAATCCCTAGCACCATGTTTTGGGAACAGCGTATTTCAAAAAATAATTAATGAAAAATTAATTGCAGATTATTTCAATTAGTATTTTACCAAACCAATTAATTGCAATAAATTGAAATTAATTGGAGTCTCTATCTCGGTAGAACAAAACCATATTACATGATTGATACCTCGATAAAACACAATGGCGTGCGAAAACACTGAAATGGCGTGAGTAAACAAATCCATTATTTGTTTAAGCGGTTGTGCCGTTCATTTATTGATTCATGATTCATTGTTGAGCTACCATTTCAGAGAAATTATGCCTCGCACAAACGAAAAATATGTGCGGAAAATTTGGATCTACTTAACAATTACCCCCCCCCCCCCCCTTTAAGAAAGGGGGCAATTGTTAAGTAGATTAATATAATGCATTTTCGACCAATCAGATTGCAGCAAAATTAGAAGTCTCAATAGAAAGCTCTAGCGCTAATTTACTGCTTTTATTAATAGGGATGGCAATTCTTAATTAGGTACCAATTCTTAAGTTATTTGCTTAGCGGGCAATTGTTGAGTAGATCCGAAAATGTTACTGCCGTCGAGACAAAAGAATGGAAATGCAGGTGTGGCAAAAACTTACATAGAAAAAAGGAACCGTTTAAACAAATTTGATAAACAACATCAAACACCGGCATCCCGGACATGATGCAAGTCAATCATGGGTTTCCTAATTTTTTCAAGCGGGACCTTCTGGGACCCGGGCAGGGTTGGAAGTGTATGGCTGGATTAATTGGATTGTGGCAATTCACTCTCATTTTCGTTTGTTGAGAAAGAATTAACGAGACAATACAGCAATTTAGAATCTATTTCGCGGAAAACTCTTATCGAGTACATGGAGAAACTTACAAAAAAAGTTTAAGATTCGATTGCAAAAGAACTGCCAGAAAAATTTTCTGTGGTTATCGACGGCTGGACTTCTGGCCCTCCTCGCTTTGTTGTGTTATTTGCTTAGTATCCAACTCAACACGGCTTTTTCACAGTACTGCTTACTTTTTCACCACTTCAGAACGCAAGACCACTTAGAATTCATTAAGTACATTTTGGGAAATTACGGAAAGACTGCCAATAACTTGGCTATAATTTCTGACGACAATGCAGAAGTTAACAACTGCCTTGCTAACTTATTAAATATTCGTCTTATCAGTTGTTATGACATAGATTCTTGCAGTGAGTAAATACTTAAACAAAAAAAAACGAATTTCTTTAAAAAAAAAAACCGACTGATGACAAAGTTTCCATCATTGAAAATGGCTGGCAAACTGAGACAGTTTACAAATTTGAAGAGTATCATCCGCAACAAAACCCGGTGGCTCAGTACAATGATAAAGATCGACCGATATTTTGAGGCGAAAGGTTTTATTGAAACGCTGCCAAGTGTTTCGAGATTGGTGGATTTCATTCCTACAGCTAGGGAAAACAGAGAACTACAAGGCTTCAGGAACACTTTGCCCAAAACTTGTTTCAATAACAAAAGCTCTTCAACGTGAAAATTTGGAGTTATTCGATGCAAGAGCAGTTTTTAATGAAGTATTACAACGATGATGAATTCAAACAGTATTTGTCAATGGATGGACATATTGAATATATGCCGGTTTTGAATAAACGCGACGAAGAAAACTTTACAGTAGATGAGGAGACTGCCATTGAAGGATTGAAACTGGCGACTATTACACCGGAACCAGAGGCCAAAGCGACAGCAACTCAAGATGATGCTTTTGCTTCCAATTTTTGAAAATTCAGAAACTAGAGATGGAGATAATTAGAAGTAACTATCTCGATCCCACATTTCTGCTACCAATTTCAAACTTGATTGAACATTTCTTCAGCGTGGCAGGATTTGCCTACAATGACCATCGAAAAAATTTGCTTCCAATGAATGTGGAAATAGTTGATTCTGAAAATCAACCATCGATTTTGGAACGAAGCAACAGTGGACGCGATCGCCAACGAGGATTGAAACTTTCTCCAATTAATTGCAATATATACTTTTTTTGCCAATCAATTACAATTAAACTTTTTGTCAATTAATTGCAATTTAATTGTTTTGATCCCAATTATTTGTTTTGATCCCTGCCCTGTTTGGGAAGGCATTCTACGGTAGGTCCCTTAGGTGGGGGTGGGATTACGGTTGATTCCATTTTTCAAATAAATATTAAAGCCAAAGACCTTTTAATTTGCATTAGCTAAATAGTTTTTCAGAAAAATCAAAGGCGGGACTGGATAAGAGCCGCGCTTTTAGACCTGGCCCGCGATAAAAAAAAATCATTTCCACAGTAGATTTTGAGGCAGTTCCAGAGTAGACGAATATACTTTTAAGAAAAGTACTTACTTCCTTCCCATGAAGTTGGAATTGTTATATAGTCTAATTGCTTCCCTGACGTCCTTCATGTTCCCAAAAGTCTGAAAAAAAACAGAACAATTCACCTCTCAAAAAAGAATTCAATTCACCTCTCAATGACGTCTAAAAGTGCACATGACGTAAATAAATTAAAATCACTAGTTCACTATTAACACTACTCCACCACCACAAGTTTCTTTTATGTGACTTCAAAATTACGGTAACGCTTAAATATCAAGTTTAACAAAATTGTCAAGGTTTACCAAATCTTACCGTAAAAATCAAGGTTAACAAAATTTAACCTTCTAAATCAATCAGGATTATACCAGTATTTCAGCTAGACTTTTACCTTTACATTTAAGAATAGATGCTAAGAAGTTAAAGTAAAAAACCTCATTCGGTCCATGAATGAATGACCGAATGATCAAATTATATTAACCAATTCAGTCTTCCATAATCAACAAGAAAGTGTGACAATTCATTCAGTAGCTTTGAAAACCTGCAGATCCGTTTACTTTGAAATTTTTGCCATTCAATTTATCTGATGTAACAGAAAGCCCCCCCCCCCCCCGCTAAAAATATCAAGAATATAAACTTCTATACCATCTATATACTACTAACCACAAATGCAAAGTTGTTGGCCTTGACGCTGATGTCCAGCACATCGAAGCCCTTGAACAGTCTGCCCATGTCCTTCTCAGTGACGTCACTGGCCACATTTCCAATGTACACCTGCAAACAACCAGTCGAACACTGAACAATTCTAAGAGGTCATCTGAACAATTCAAAACTTTCAAACAGTGGTATTCTCATAACAGAAGGACCGAATGCACCAAAATTTTCAACCAATCAACCTTTCGTTCTTCTAACTGTCCAACCTGACTGATATTCGTTCTAATTGTTTCGGATTTTCCAATGTTAAATCCTGATTGGTTCACACAATTTCGGGCGTTCAGTCCTTCTAGAACGAGGGATTCTCACGCTTTTAGGCGATTAAATTAAAATAGACATAGAAGCGACATAAGTAAAAAACACACTGTACTACATAATGGTTATAAAATAGATGCCATTAGAACAATCTGATTAGAAGACGACAATAAGACGATACGAGAGGCTGCTCGGTGAAAGGACTCCTGTTTTTGAGCCAAGATAGATCCAGTGCTCCAATCGCCCAGTTCTTCAAACAGTGTTCAAATATTGCAATCTGCATTTCTTATTATTTACTTCCAAAAACAGACCTTTTTGACACTTATGTAAACTCTGTATTGCGTTTGCATGTGACGCGGAACTACACAGATAAATTCATTGAGTATCAAAATGTAGAATCGAGTATGTTCGATGACCATGCCTGACCTGTATGTGTTCGCTGCTTCTGCTCCGTCCCCTCCGACTGCTTCTGCTCATGCTGCCCCCTCTTCTACTGTCCCGGTCTCTGTCTCTGTCATCATTGTGTCTGCCCATGTCCCAAAAACTGGTGCTATCTGAAAAATTCAGCCGAAACTAGAAACTAGAGCGTCCAAACAAGTAGCACATAATCATCCAAAACGCAAACGAGAAGATTTTGACCAACTTTGTGGTTATTTTCAGGGGAGGGGGGTCACTAAACGAGGGATCACACAAATAGAATTTTAAAATAATCATAATAATAAGAGGTCAAGCTGAGCTTCGCAACGCTTGCAATAAATCATACACAGCATTGCAAGCTAGTGGACAGAAAATGGAAGCCACTAAGTCCAACAAAACTAAGTCGAAAAAACTAACCTCTATAAAAGAATATCTTAAATGAGTTTCGATTTGAGGAAAACAAGTCAAAAAACTTAACGCCCAGCTTTAAACGAAACACAAAAACACAATTATAAAGATATTCACCTTTTCAGCGACTCATTTTGAGGCAATTTAGCCAATGTGACATGCACCGAACCGAGACTTCAAGCACGTTCCGTGCTTTTGAAATTAAGCAGACCAAAAATAAGCAGAAACTATAGTCCGACAATCAAGTTTTCCCAAAAGTACATTCAAATTCCAGGTATAAAACAGAGGCGAAGCGGAGCATTACAAACATTGCATTACAAAATAATGAAAAAAGAGGGTTTCAGTATTTTTTCCAAAAAAAGCTGAAAAAAAATAACTTGAAAAAGGCCCATAGAACTCTCTACAAAAATTCATACACTTTCAACTCTTTTTCATTCTTATATTTGAAAAAATTGCTTACTACCCCACATGCAATCAAAATTAGTTTCTATATGAATTTTCAAGAAATTTAGCACGCCAGATTGAGCATGTCGGCATGCGAATTGGATTGAAAACAAGTGGTACAGTATTATAACAAAATGCTGGCAAGTTCTCTAGATTGAAGAAATTTCATTACGGGGTAAACATCCAACTCCCGATTACAAGTCACTAGCTCTCGCAAGAGAAAAGAGTAAAACGATCAAAAAAAGCAGCAACAGTGGTATATCAAACTGATAAGGTTCAAATCGCGGATCTGATTATGAACCTACAAAAAAGCACATTCGATAGTAAGAATTTCATACGCATATTTGACCAGTTTTTAACAAAAAATTTAATCGAAAATCAGAAAAATTAGACAAATTGATTTAAAGGTTTTAAGGTTTTCATTTGTTGTCAAAAAGGCGCCAACAAAAACTAATAATTCTGGAGTAAAACTAAGTTTTTGCGTCTTATTTCTGTGTTATCGGCCTGCTTTAATCGCTCGACATTGGAGAAAAAATCAAAAACATAAAACGGTTTTCTCTAACCGAGGATGTTTTGGAATTTATTTAATAGGACTTGACTCACGAGTGCAAAGGCTTCAATATGATATATCACTAAATCCCTTCCGACAATTATTTGTAGCACCTGATTTTAAGCGAAAACCGTTAACCAAAATTCTTTGTTTGATGGAGTTTAATATGATCATATATTTGGCGTGTATCCCTCTTTGAAAAAAAAATCCGAACATAAGATGACAAAAACAAACCAAAAGCGAACAAGACGGAAAATTTAAAAAAAAATTAATTCAAAAACAGAGGCGAAGCAAAGCTTGGGATACAAAATGAATGATCGCAACACTTGCAAATAAGCAGACAAATCGAGAAATAAAACAACACAAATTTTCTCAAAAACAACGGAAACTTGCCAAGAAAAATCAGATATCTTGGAATTGAATTATATGCACCTGCAAAGAACGGCTAAGCAAAACATCCCTCTAGCCCTCTAGTTGTGATAAAACCCATACCAAGCATGACAAATACATGCTTTGTATGGGTTTTATCACAACTAGAGAGATGTTTTGCTTCGCCGTTCTTTGCAGAGTTTCTGAAGGTGCATATAATTCAATTATTCCAAGATATCTGATTTTTTTTGCAAGTTTCCGTTCTTGTTGAGAAAATTTCTGTTGTTTCATTTCTCGATTTGTCTGATTATTTGCAAGTGTTGCGCTCATTCACTTTGTATCCCAAGACATAAAAGATGAAAGTCAAAAAACCGATCCAAAAAATTGATATACCAAAAACGAAAAACTTTCCAAGATAAGTCTTGATTTTGTAAAGACAGCAAAACCCGTGTAAAATTTTACGAGCGAATTCTGAGAACAAAGTTATTTACGGTAAAAAAAAGTCTAGAACCCGATTACAACACCCTAGCTTATGGCAAGAGTAATTAGTACCGCGTATAAATTGGCGGCAAAATCTAATAAGGGACATTTTGTTCTATAAATTAGACGAAGGTGTAGTAAAATCTGCGAACAAAGTTATTTACGGGGAGGGGAGGGGAGGGGGGGAGGGGTCAGAACCCGGTTCGCTGCAACGCAATTGCTATAGCAAGTGTAATAACATTGCCGATCAGAACAACATTTGACGTGCAAAAAAACGTTGTATAATTTATAAGAGAAAAATGGCAAACCTTGAAATTATTATCGTGTCGTGTATTTCAAATCGCATATTTTGAAACAGTTTTTGCAGTAGTCTTCAAACTACTTGACCAACCATTCATCAAAAACTATATAAAAACTACACTATTTTATGTACGCTTCTTATATATATATATTGTTGCATTTTCTATTCTGAATATGCCTTACTTACAGATCGTGTATTCTCCCATGCACTCTTGTGACATAACATAACATTAGGGAAGATAGGCAGTTTTGTAAAATACAAAATTTTCAGATAGACAAAAAAGCACAAGTTTAAATTGTTGCAAAACGAGCAAATGATTAATTCCACATATCAAAAACGGCAAAAATGTGATTAATTCTGCCTATTAAAAAATTGCACGAGATGAGAAATTATATATAATATAATAAAAAAGAAAAACAGGACAACAAAGATGCAAACAAATAACATTTTTAAGTTTCAGTATAGAGAAATCAACACAAGGAAGTTTAGATTACGCTTTGCAGCAATATGCCTTTTCCTTTTCCTGTACCTTTTTGATCAATACAATGAGGTGGTACAAGTCAAAAAATTACAAAATTACTTTCAGAAAACGCTACCAGCAACACTAAGTAGCAAATGAATGAAACTTTACTGCTGTTGATTTTTTCCACGTCAAGTTTAGCGACCATGACTATCCATGATTAAGAGTCAAATTACCTCAAGCTCAGATTGGAAAAAAAATTGGATATTTTCTAAACGAAGGACCATTTTTTTCGGTCGTTTCTCTGTCCTCCTTACTAACTCATATCATACTTTTAGAAAAAATCCAATTACAATCCGGCGACAATTATGCGGTATTTAACAAAAAAGCGGCAGGAAGACGACAAACTAAGGGAAAATGCAGCAAGCAAAATAATTTCTCCAATATTATTCAGCAAACATTGAAAAAAAAATTCTTCAAACTACATAAATTAGAGCGGCCTTTTATAGCAATAACCAAAATGGATAGGGCCAAAAAAAAATTGGGTAGTTAGGGGGTCGAATCTCTGAGGAGGCGAGTGCGGAGGGCGTCTGTTCTCTCCTTAAATCTGCCCCTGCAAGAATAGCTTTCAATACAAGGAAATCCGATAGTTGAGCAAGCATACGATCACTATTACTTCAAAAAAATCCATCGAAATTAGCTGTTTTTTCTTCAGAGGTGAATGAGACTAACTACCGCCGAAAATGTAAGAACAAAAGAGAAGTTATGAAACTTGGAACACAGAGGCGAAGCTTCGCCTCGCAAACACTAGCGACAACACGACAAAAATCAGCTCTAGAAAGTCCAATAAGAAAAAAAATAGAAGTAAGCCTCGAATTAGCAAAAAATCGGCTAGGTCTAGGATTCGATCTGCGACGTACTGCAATCAAGAGACTTTAAGTCTCACGCTCTAATCACACAGCCACGCACGTTTAACCGCCGACAAACATTAGTGAATAAAGCAGCTACATATGCTAATAAATTGCCAATGCCATTCAGCAAAAGTGGCACCAAATACAAATAGACACAATTTTGCAACTATTAAAATTGAATATAACAAATCGAAAAGCATAAAAATACATTGTTTAAATTATGCATTTTGAAAAATTGCAAGATACAATGATTTAGACAAATTACTGAAATCGTGATATAGTAGAAATAAATTGAGAGTTGAGGCTCTCGTCAATCTTAGTGTGAAAAACGGAAAAAATTCAGACCCGTCTTTTTTCAGGGTCAACATTTTACACAGAGGCAAAGATCACTTCGCGCCACTTGCGATGTAACAGTATAGGAATAAAATCGAAGGACGCTCAAGAACTAGCAAAAAGGACTTTGAACGATCTTACCATTAAAAAACGAACTAGAAAAACGAAAAAAAAATTCATGAATAAATTCATTAGAGTTTTTTAAAGAGGTCCAAGCGCTGTTGATTTAAAGCACTCAAAAACTTTGGGCCTGTATCTTATCACTCTATTGTGTCCAGAGTCTTATTTTAAGCGGTAAGAAACACTTGAAGCTTAAAAAATTCCAAGTTTTGCAACAATTAAAAAACTTAGGTCTCCCTCTAGCTCGAAACACACACGCACACAAACGCTTTAAAAGGCGCAATATGAGTCGACTTAGCTGATATAAACAGATCAAAACCTATTAAGCCGTGAAAAAGGACAAAAAAAGTGAAATTTTATCAAATCGAGTTGTTAAAATTACAGCCAACATAAAAACAAATTTCGAATAGGAGGTGTATTTTACATGCTATCATTCTCAAAAAATATCTGTTGGAGTATTTCCAACAGGGAGGACAAGGATATGAATGAGTCTAGGAGATGACACTAGTGAAAAACATTTTGTATGAGAAAAAATCTGGAACCCGATTGCAATACCTTGCTGATCGCAAGGGTACGAATACGAATCATGACTGAAACAGATTCAGTATGATACCACATTTGACCCCTACGAGCTCTTCGAGGCAGTGAAAGTGGACTTAAAAAACACCCCAAGTCATGGTTTCACCCCACCCTCTAGGGTGATGTCAGAACAATGAAAAACGGTGACATATAAAAAAATGCGCAAATTTTGGCAAAAGAACAATGCGAAACAAAACAATAACTGTACAGATTGCTTCCGAATCCTCATTTAACTTAGACAAAAAAAATTTGGAAATTTTTCAAAGTCGCTCGAATCATGACTGAAAAGGATTTTATATGATGAATCACTCGACACTTTCGGAAGAAAATATGCGGGAAAAACACACCAGAAGACAAAGTTCCTCCTCTTTTCAATGGTGGGAACAAAAAAAGTAAAGGTCGGAACAAGGATATCTATATGGAATATCATGTAGACCGAATAACATGTAGACGGTCGAGGAAGAAACCAAAACACATTACACAAGGTCGCGGAAAATAGTGGGATATTTGTCTGATATCCCCCCCCTTCCCAAAGACAAAAGCATATGATGAAACGAGGAGGAAAATAGGTTAATACATAAAAACAGAAACGCCACCTCCGATAGGAGAACTGGCTAAATCGTGGAAAAATCAGGGAAGCCAAATGATGTCACAAGAACGGGTATCGAAGGTAACTGTTAACGTCACAAAATTTAGAGACGTTTAACAGCCGTTACCGCACATCTAAAAAGGGGACGATTTTCGGAAAAATTAAAAAAAAAAGCTATGGCATACAGAGGAGACAATAACGAAGGGAGAGTAAAAGGAAAATAAGTTATAAGGCGCAAATAAATGCAGATTTTAATTCCCAAAACAAGAAACTCCAATAAGACAAAAAAGTTAACAGAAAAACACAATAGAACAAAACTCACACGAAAAAAAAAAACGATTTTGCAAAAAAATTCATAAGGTAATGAATAGGTGCCAGTGAACTATTTTCCCACAGGGGCGGAATTGGGCTTCACAAACACTTGCGAGAACACGACCAAAAATCAGCTCTATGAAGTGAAAACAGAAAAGGTAGAAATCAGCCTCGAAGTGCCGGATTCGAATACGCGACCTATCAAATTTGAGTCTCACTCACTAACCACTTAGCCACGGATGCTAAAAATCCCAAAAACTAGCCACCAATAACGCAAATACATATGCTCATAAATTGCCATTTCGATGCAGCAAAAGTAGCTCCAAATACAAAAAGACACAACTTTGCAAGTAAAAATTTGAAATATAATAAACTGAATGCATCCACACTAGCTTTGCATGGAAGAATTGGAAAGCATGAAGCCACATTATGTATAAATTAAGCATCTCAAAAAATGCTAGAGACATTGAGTTAGAAAACTTCTAAATTGAGTTTTAATTATAGTTTCATGGTTTGAGACATAGATTTTTTCGGTTCATTTGATGAATTTTTAAAATGCATCAACTGTATTAACTTATTACTATTCGAACGCCAAAGCACATTCTATCAAAAAGCTCTAAAAGTGCTTCAAAATGGGACCAATATTTGCAAGTGTAAAAAATAAAAAAGGATAAATTATGATGAAAAAAAATTTAATAAAAAAAATTCATTTTTTACATTAACAAAAAAAACTTATATATATCTCTTTACTGTTTTAACAAATTGAAGCTAGGCAAAACTAGAGAAATATAACAAGTTATTTTATGAAAGTTAGCAGACAGCAACTCAAATTGACATAGCGAAACAATAATTTCATCTAGCAATTTCGAGCAAAACTATCCAACAATTTGAATTTCTTAATTTCTGATTTGATAGCGTTTCTGGCTAATTTAATCCGGGTTTTTCAAATGAAATGGCTACCTTATCAAATTTTTTGTTTAGTTAGAACGCAAAAGGAAAATACTTCAAAAACTAATTGTTGTCGAAAAAATTAATAAAACAAACAAAAAAAAATGCGAAAATCAACGAACTCTCAACAGGCAACCAAAGCTTATACCTAACATGCAACCACTACACTAATCATGATTTTAACTCTGCCGTTGATGTTATAATATTGATTGCCATTTCGTCCATTCTGTTTGCGAAACTAGTACCCAGTTGCAACACCCTTGCTTATCACAAGGGTTAAAATATCCTAAAAAAACAACACGACCTAAATATGTGACTTCACGTCGCTTATCGACAATGATAAAATCTTTCAACAAAATCATTATGCCTGATAAAATGTTAACGTTAGAGTAAAAAGTTTCTTATTAATGAAAAGTAGCGAGGGCGAAGACGCAGGGATGAAAGTAGAAACCAATTGTACAGTACTCACAAAACTGATTAGAAACTAAATCTAAACTCTTTTGACACAAGGAAATTCAATTAATTATCAACTAATCAGTTAGGCAAAAGAACATTGATTTAATTAAATAAAGAATGTAAATAGCACCCAGAAACTCGAATCACTCATCGCAAGAGCAAAATGTAAAGGTATTTCAGCCCAAGGCAAACTCGCCGATTTCATTTCAAAACCAGTAAAACAGGCGAGACATATCTAACAGTCTCCCATTTTTTCATGAATTTTCAGTAATAATTTCATCTTTTCTTGTTGCAATAAACTGGCTTGGATCACTAACTTTTTGTTCATTCGCTTAGCCTGCTTTGCTTTTTCCATCATCAATTTCAAGTTCTTTTCGTTCTTCCTTGAATAAAGGCCAGTCCAAGGCACGAAGCTCTCAGGCGACACTGGGAATACCATAGACCTCACTCGGTTTGGATCGTATAGCTCGTTTTTAAACCTAGAACAGTTCTTGTCATCTGACAAGTGCTGCCACAGAGACAATGTCTTTGAGAAAACTGCATTTGAAACTCTCTCCAGCTCACTGTTGCACAAGAAGTTTCCGTAAATTCCCGCGTAGGAGCTTTCAGCAAGAAATATTAGAAACTCTTCGTTGAACTCAAAGTGTGTCGGAAAGCAACGTGTATATTGCCATACTGCATCTAGGAACAAGAGAAAGACAGGGGCTGACACTTTTCGGGAATCCCTGGCTTTGTTCTGAACAAACAGCGACGAGTGTCGGTTCTGGAACTGATGTCCGGCAAGAATCCACTCACGGTGGATCAGCTCCTGAAAACCTCGAATGGTTCGGCACTCTGGATCCATGATCATCTGGGCTAGCGAGGTACTACACAAGGTGGTATCTCGACCTTCGAGGCCATGTACCACTGCTGACGTGAACTCTTGATTCAACAACTGTTGCAGCAAACATGCATGAGTGATTAGGCTTCGCACATGTTCCAGCCACTTTGATCCTTCTATAGCAAGCAAATAACTCTCCACTGATGAATGGTTTGATTTGAGCGCCTTTATGAATTTTACTAGAGAGTCCAACAAATTGGACACTCTTTCCAGAGGTCTTTGAAAATGATGGAACCTCTGCGCGTCAGTGTATCCTTCTGATTCGTAACCACCTCCTCTCACTTTGTCACTTGAAGCATCCGCCTGTGTTCTTGTATCTACAATGTAGGAACGTGGCGACATTTTGGGATCCTTTGCCACTCTGGCCTTGAAAGCAGGAGATGACATCGCGAGAACACGTTGGTCGGCATGACATGTTCTGTTCATTGCCGTTACTAGAGGCTGACTACATCTTACTAGTGTGGTTTGCCTGGCCGCGTGATAGTAGCACACAACAGGAAAGCGCCCGCCTTCTCTGAACTTCGAAGACTGGACTAATTCTTCGTCAGTTACAGTTACTGGAACAATTATACGTTCGGGGTAACTCAGGCACACGCCAAAACCTTTGTTCAGATCTGAGATTCTGAACTGCATATTGTTGGCATTCTGATTCATTTTCTGCAAAGTGCTCAGAAGACTGAACATCTGCCATCCAGCATGCAAATCGTCGCACTGGTGTTGATAATGAAATGCAGGCAAGAACTGAATCTGAGTATTCATTCTCTCTTTCATTACTCTGATGTAAGAGGCCACGTCTGAGCACTTTGAACTGGTCGGGAATGTTATTTTGTACGTGTAAAAATGCTTACAAATAAGAACAACGTGAGCGTCTGGCGGTGATAGGGATTCGACTAATGAGTCAATCAACTGGTATGAAATTCTGAATGGCAGTTCAATATTGTGCTCTAATTTCAAAATGTCCAGGGTTCTCTGTCGCGACTCCAAGGCAAGATCCCCCAATTCGTCAAAGATGACTACATGATGATATTCTGTGCAAAGGGTTCCCGTGAATTGGAGAGGCGGATTTGCGCCACTGATTTCGATTCTCACTCCAGGCACTTTGATCAATTCCAGGTCAATGTCAGACACAAAGTCATTATCATAATCGAAGGCCATGCTCCTATCTAAAAACAACGAGCAGTTTTTGAGTATCAACAACAATTTCTGTGCAAAAACCATTAGAAGATAATTAAGACCTCAGCCATATCATAGTCCACTTATACCTTATACCATCAAACATCGAAAACTGTGGAATGTCACAACTTGTAAACCGAGATAAGAACAAAGAGGGGAAAACGCATGAACAAAAACGCAACATTCGAATTTCAAAAACATATAGATGACCTTAAAGCTCTTTCACTTTCTAGAACAATTTATCATTGACTCTATTTTTGATAAAAATCAACCCAATTTGAAGAAATTCGATAACTAAATTCCACTTTTGAAACTAGAACTCGATCATGTTTTTCGTGAATTTTACACTTTGGCTGTTCGATAGTGGAGTTTGCCTTCCTTATAATAAAGGATATGAACTGAACTTAAAAAATCAAAAGTCAAACTGCAAAAATGTTATTTTGAGCCTAATAAACTAAGATTAAAATGAAAAACCAAAATTTCAAAAAATATGACTGCATAATTTAAACTATTGTCACAAAAACAACTTGCAGGAAACCTAAGAAAACTTTGAAAATCTATAAAATAACCCAAAGATAACAAACTTATCAAATAACAACATTTGATGAGTAAAAAAATTTGTTAAAAGAAAAGTATAATAAAAAGGATGCAACGAAAAATGCATCTACCCATCTTTAGTACAAAAAATCATAAAACATAAACCCGAAAAACTGAAAATTTTCAAATTAAAATTCAAATAAACAAACTAAAAACACATGTAGTACATTTACAACTTCGAGTGTCAAAAAGGTATTTAGCGTTCTAACATCCATAAAAACCATCAAATAAGCTATGTAAATAAGCTTGGCTTGTAAAAAAAAAGCTGAAACTAAGCCGCAAAAAAAACTGGCCAGAACACGACAAAAAGCAGCTCTATAAAGAGCAATAAGAAAATGTAAAAATAAGCCTCGAATTAAGAATTCGGCTACGTGTCAGATTCGATCAAGCAACCTAGAAATTTTCGAATCTCACACACTAACCACTCAGCCATGGAAGCTTAATGGATCACAAACAATAGGTGATTATAGCAAACGTGCCACGAAATGAACCCTTTTAAGGAACACTTTTTTTGCTAGTTATGTTAGAAAAAAGTTCGTTCTAATACAAAAATGCTCGCAAGCTAGTTAGTGTAATGATGCACAGTGGGATTATTAGAACAATTAGCGAAAATAGGACGCACTTACTACATGCATATGTCGTGTACTACATACATGCTGAAATCTGTCTAGTACCCGGTTGCAACCCACATTTTTTCGCAAGCGTAAAAACAAATGAAAACTATGATATTGGTCCATTTATTTTTTAGGCAACAATGAGAAAGGAAATATCGGTAACAATGAAAAGATCGACGCCTATATGTGTAAAATCATATTTTTCGATAACTTTCAGCCAGAAACAGCATCACTCTTGAGAATTCCGAGCAATTTTCGAGACAAGGCAGTTAGATCACACTGAGATAATCAAAAAAATTATGGTTCAAATAATACGCTTTGCCGATAGTTCTAGAGTGAATGAAAACCAAAAACCTATCAACGCTGCTCGAATAACCTATCAACGCTGCTTTGACAGTAAATAGATTTTTTAAAATTTTTTTGAAAGAAAATATCCGGCAATTAAGCGGACAGAAATTAAGACCATCCGTGGCCGAGTTCGAGTCCCATTTCGGTCACGGTTGGAGGGGTCATCGGCCTCAAAACGGAAGCGAGGCCCAAGATAGAAAGGAGGAAATTTGACCGGGTCAAGTAGAAAAAAAATAAATTGTGACTCAGAGGCGAAACGAAGCTTCGCACTACTTGCGATAAAACATAAAAACAGCAGTGCAAGCTAGCAGACAGAAACAAAAACTACTAAGTCCAAAAATTTTTTTTTAAAACTTCAAAAAAACAACTTAAAAATCAAAATGTTGTCTGAAATCATGTTCTCTTTGCGGAGAACACGTACAGAAACACAATCAAGAGCAATTCAAGAAAACTCAAAAAACAATTAACAAGCAGCAACTGAGCCGACGAAAACTCAATAATTTCCCTTAGAAACGAAAATATATTTGTGGTCGTGGATAACAATGTACACTTTACTCTAAGAAGTTTGGAGTTTTGTGCGATCCAGAATGAAGCATAAAACTTATTCTTCTCTTAAAAGGATCCCACGTTAGGTCACTAAACCTATAAAAAAACGAAATCATTTAGGCCGAATATAGTTTTCAAGCGAAAAGAAAACAAAAACAGCAAAATATACGCAATCAAGGCTAGTAAAAATTACAAATTACAGCAGTTATTCAAAACACTTAAAGCAACTACATTGCAAATTACGTACAAAAAATCAACTCTACGATGTGGCAACTAAGCCCACAAAATATAAGCAGACAAACTTCCAGTTCCAGACAAATATTTCCAGTTTGAAAAAAAAGTTCCTGGTCAGATTCAAACTCACGACATTTGCAGTCCTAGGCGTATTCCTCATCTCCGGGCTAAACAGCGGACACGCATAGAAGTTTGAATTCATTATAAACCAAGATTCAAGTGATTCTGTTAAATAAGTTGCAAGCCCGGAAAAAAGTCGGAAGCGTAACCAAGTCCAGAAAGCCGACAAAAAAATTTTGAAAACTCATTTTTAAACCCATTGCCACTAAATCAATACGAACTGCACTTAACAAAAAAAAAACTACATAACCACTTCAACTGCAGATCATAAAATTGGAGATCCTGTGAACACAGTAGAAAACATTTTCTAGCACTAATCTGCAACAACTTTGCTTATCGCAAGGTTAAATATAATTTTTACGAAATGAGATGATTAATTCACAGATTTTAACTTAAAACATAAACATCAGTCGTTCATACGCCTTTGAGCGAAAAATCATTTCTTTGAAATGAATACAATTACATTAAACTCAAGCCTGAATAGCAAAATTACTGGCCAACTTTTCAAAAATTTTTGCAATCCGATTTACGACAGAAAAAGGCTTTAATATGACACCACACTTGACCCTTTGCGAGCATTCTGAGAACTATCTAGAAATGGGCGGAAAAAACCAATCCTACGCAGTAGCTTTAATCCATTCTTCAGAGCGAAGGACATGCTGTTAGATGTTTTTATCCAGGCTAAGGAGAATGATTACTTTGCTACAACTGAAGCGACTATTTCAAACCAAAAGTGAGTTTAGAAACATTTAGTAGCTATCAATTGCGGAATAATGAATTGCATAAATTTTGGAATCAATGTGCGCTTTATTTAAACCTATGAGAACCAAATTGATCAATGATTTCAAAACGCGAAACTGCTTCCCCGTCGATTACTGATTTTAAATGGATATTCAGTTTAGATTGAAGATATGAGAGCGGTTGTTGTGAAGTTGAGAGCATTTGCGCTGTGAGGGATGAAGAGAAGACAAGGCGCTGGAGGAAAAGACACAGAAGCGAAAACGAGCTTCGCACCACTTGCGTTAACACACAAACGTTGCAATAAAACAAAAAAGCTAGCAGATAACAAATGAAACGAAAGTTACAAAGTCGAAAAAGAAAGTACCGAAAAAACACACTCACAGAAAAACTTCATAATTTTGTATCAAAATGTATTCAATTTGAAAACACGTCCAGCAATATAATCTATGGCGTTAAAAAAATCTTCAAAGACATTTAGGGAGTGACACCTCAGCCGACAAAGCTTAGGTAAATGACCGTTGAGCCGAAAACAAAACTGCAAAACTATGTTCATGTAGCATTCATTCTAGAAAATTATTAAGGCAAAACTATCTTCGGAATTACACCAAAATTCTAGCAAAGCACACCGGAGAAGAAATAGAAACCTTATATTATGTCCTTGTTAGTGTTGTGATGACAAGATCTGAACGGAAACCTAAAAATTAGGCCTTTGCAGTAGTAATAGTACAACCAACCACAGTGTTAAACATAGCCAACTGACAGTTGGCAAGTAATTAACGTAAGGAAACAGAAAAACACTGGCTTGTTTTTCAAAAAACTTCAACTGTCGAAATTTTAAGAAAAAATGTAAGCCCTTAAAGCTCTTTGAATTTCAAGAACTTATGTTTGATGCTTTTAATACAAATTTCCTCAATTTGAGAAAACTGGATCAAAAAATATATTTCCGTTAGGAAATCTGAAAAAAATCCAATTTCGAAAACAAGCCGATCAAGTTTTTCGTGACTTTTATACTTTTCTGCTTCGATAGTGAAGTTTGCCTTCCTTTTAACAATGCAAATGAACTAAACTTCAAAAAACTCAAAAGTCAAACCGCGAAAAATCAAATCTGAGCGTGAACAAACTTCGAGACTTACTCCAGAAAAAAACACCAACACCTACTTAAGAGTCTTCACTACGTTCATTACTCTCAAACATCAAAATTAAAGATTTTTAAAAAAATTCATAGCGGTAATTTTTTTTTTGATTTTTCCAATAATTCTTTTGATGAAGGTGCTAAAGACAACTTAGGGCTGAAAAAAAATTTCTGCTGAATTTGCATTAGAGGCTATTATAATACCTACTCGCTCGCTCGAAATTAGACTAAAACATTAAAAAAACTGGTCATTCTCGCACTTGAAGATCTTGTTAAAAAAATTTTAATGTCGCCCGAACCGTGACTGACAGGGTTTTGTTACGGTATAACACTGTCAATTCCAATATTGATACCTGCTTTTGCGTTAAAAAGTAAAAAAAAATTTTCACCATACTCAAATACAAAATTCCCCCTCCCATTTCTGTGATCCGAACAAAAAGCCTTTTTTAAATTTCACAATTAGCACAGAAGGTTGTGACCAAAATCTTGAAAAAAAAATTAAATTTCTTTCAAATTAGTCTCGTTTTTTCTGCCTGGTGTGGGAGAATGATCTGAACGAAAAACAAAAATTAGAGGCCAGCTAACGAGAAATTCAAAAAGTTTCAAAAACGGTAAGAAAATTGACTTCTCTGAGGGTCATAACTTTTTTGCGTGAATAAATATGGGTGTAAAGGTAGCTCTTCACAAGCCATCCTTTATTTTGAAACTAAAATCTCAAGATTTGAGAGGGTAGTTTTCGAAAAAGAAAAGTCGAAAATTTTTTTTAAAAACGGTTAAAAAAATCGTCTTTTTAAGGGACTTTTTGTGTAAAAAAAGCTTGGGCGTGGCCGCTCATGCAGTGGAGCTTCGCACGGCGCCATTAAAACCAAAATCTCAGATTTGAGAGGATAGTTTTTGAGAACATGTAGAAAAAACCAAAAATATGAGTCAAAAATTGCCCCCACACATTTTTCGAAGGCTGTAGAAAGTGGGGTAAGGAAAAAAAGAGATTAGGGGAGTATACAGGCACACCGGAGAATGGGCGCAATTCCCATTTGTACCCCTATTTTTATAAATCGGTAGAAGTTTTGAGAAAAACTAAATTATTGAAAAAAGTGAAGCTTTTTTTTTAAAGCGTCTCAAAAAACATAAAAAAAACCCGATCCCATACATTTTCAAAATACCTGTTTTTATCAAGCAGGAACTTAGGCATATTTGACAGTCAAAGTAAAATAGGCAAATTGCAAAACAGTTTTTGTAGAAAAAAGACGAAAAATATATTGAAATTATCAAAAAAATTTCGAATATTTTGCTGAAGTTTTTTGAATTTTAGAAGATTTTGGTTACCAAAATAGTGTTAAAAACTGCAAAAACTAAATTTATTCGATTTAAAAAACTAAGCACAAATAGGCTATTGTGAACCGCTTAAATACGCCTGCTCGCTCGCTTTATTCACTGGAAATTAGTAGAAATTAAAAATTTCAAATGTTTTCTCGAAAGAATTTTTTTTCAAGTTTTTTTATGTCGTTCGAATCACGACTGCAAGGGCTTTAACATGATATATCACTTAAAACATTGCGATGATTATTTGTGGTACTTCTTTTCGCGTGAAAAACAAACACACCCGAATACAAAGTTCCTAACAATTTTCAATTGTCGGAACAGAAATATATGGGCTCAAAGCTCTTAGAAACTCTGGAATTTTTTTAGGTGGACATTCTTATTTCATAACCTTACAAAGTTCGAGAAAACTTATTCCAGGGATATTTTTCAGCCAGGAAAACCAACTAAATCCAATTTTGCGACCTGAAATTTTTCAGACTTTTTTGACATTTGAACATAATGGGAGAGCAAAAAAAGTTGATAGGAAATTAAGAAGAAATCAAACTCAAGTCGAAATTTGAAAAAAAAATCAGTTGAAATTAGCAACTGAAATTAAACTGAACATAGAGAAATCAAAAGTCAAATAGATAAATCACAAATTCGAATGTGAACAAATTTCATTCCAGGTTCTTGAGAAAATGGTTAAAAAAACACAAAATAATCAATTGAAAACTCACTTTGTTTTTATACACTTATAGACACTTGAATAAAATTCTCGATTAATGCAACCTTGAACTATAGGGCCATAAATATTTTTCTGTATTTTATTCCAACAAAAATGAGTATCATCTTCCGACTTGCCCTAAAGATTGGTCAGTTTTAGGATTGGCTGTGATAGCCTGGGCGGCTACAATAGTCTCGTTTATTTGAGTCTGGAGCTTTCGAAGTTCATTTATATGCAATAATCTTAAAACTTTTGCAGCATCTTTAACTTGTTGGTCATCAACATCTAGGCCCAGCTCGACGTCCTTCAAAGGGACGCTTATGGCGGGTTCCCTATTGTTTATAAACTCTTCGACAGCTTCTTCTTTGAGTCTCGCTTCACAAAAAATGGCGAGAGCTTTAAGAACGTACATATTCTGATCATGTTGCATTATGTTTACCACTTTGGCGCTCTCTAAAACACCGGAAACAAAATCAGGGCTGGTGGGATCGAGACTGTTCAAAGCATCTATTGCAGCAGCAGCCGCTGCCTTTCCAGAAAAACTACCACTAACAATATTCTCTTTTGTCATCGGTCGATACTTTTCAACATTATCTCCATACTCATACCGAATTGCTAAATTCAGCAGCCAATTTATGATGAGCACTCGCTTACATCGTATCGATTCAGGGCACTCAATGTCCCTGAGATACACATTCAGAGCATTCTCCCATTGTGAAGATGAATAACTTCTCAACTCCGCTCTATCTTCTTCCTTGTACCAGCGAATCTTTTGATCTTCCAGCCAAATGATCAACAAACGAAAGCTCGTTTCATCGTTTAAATCAAAAGATTGAGCACCAGGGTACTCAAGAGCACGTAACTTTGAGCCGAATTTCATCTTCTGAAAAAAAATTAAATTATAGAGAGATAGCCAGTTGCTGTCAGGGCAGGTCAAAAATCAATTGCCATTGCAATTAATTGAAATTCTTCAGTGCAATTAATTGATTTTCATTCCTGACCAATTAGAATTAACTGATTGCGCTCTACCAATTAATTGCAATTGTTTTCATCAAACGCATTTCCTAGAAACAACCACACACTTCTCTGAAAACCATTTTTTTCTAATTCATCAAACAGCAATCTTGCTTAAAAGATTAAAAGTACTGCAGAATATGCATATTCTGATCTTCGGCAAATTTCTGATATGCATAATCTGATCTTCGGCAAATTTCTGTAAAGGCAATTATTTCGGAAAACCAACAAAAAATACTGGGAGAGGGAATTCTTGTCAAAAATTGTTAACCAAGAGTGTTGCTTCTTGCAATTAATTATACAATTAAATGCAATTTAATTTTGCGTTGTGCCAATTAATTGATAATTGACTTTCAACGTTCCAGTTAATTGTAATTTGATTTTCAGTTGTCCAATTAATTTTTGACTTGCCCTGGTTGCTGTGCACGTAGCACAGAAGGCTCCGACCTCTTTCATATTGATGAAATAATCAGAAGTTCGAAAATATTATAGTAACAGAGGTTACAATCAGGACTCCCTTCATCACATTATCCAGTCAAAATCCTCGTGGATTTTAAGATATGAAAGATTAATAGTATAATTTGGATTAAAGTAAAGTGAGTCAGATGGTTGGGAATCAAGCCAACCAAATTGAGAAAATTGACACCATCACAGAATAAACCGGAGTTAAAAGTGACCCAAAAGACTGACCTGATATGAGGCTACTGGTCTATCATATTTTTAAATGAAGCTGCGCTGTTGTTCCCTTGGCTCTATAAATTGAAAACTTCTTCGAGAATAGTTTTATCATTAAAAGGTGCCGAGTACACAGGCAGCGTTTGCAACATGTATTGCGAGGGAGATTCTCTGCTTAAGAAAACTACCTGCCCTGGGTTCCTCGGCACACGTGCAAAATTTCTTACAAAGCTTAATCAGAAAAATCTCAGTGCTAAGACCGGTGGCACCCTGAGCTTCAAAAGCTATTGGTTGAATATTATAACCATTATTACAAAAAAGGTGTTACATACGCCAACTTAAGTCACACATGAGGTTAAGAAAAATAGGCCCTATAACCATTGGCTCAAGAGTCAGGGTCACTATCTCTTGTGTTTTTCAACCTCAAGCGGTAGTAGCCAATTCGGTTCACTGTAATATTCGCCCAAATACTTCACAGTGAAAAAGCACCTCTTGACGACTGGCCGACGTCAGTTACCTAAATTCTACTCGTGTTTCACCGCCTTGACCTAGCCAGTTGATTTTCTGGTCTGTTGAGGCCTAAAAAAAAGTTACCATTTTTTTGCCATCAGTCAAGCTACTTTTGGTCAGCTTTCGTTTGCATGCGACGACAACCACATAGCTGGGTCTGGGATCCCCAGACTACGTGATTGCTATCAAAAACACGGCTCGAATAGCCTATTTTACTATGTTTTTAGTGACTGTTATATACTAAATCCATTGGAGATGGATTGACCTTTTCCTCTTCCTAGCTCCTCATTTTCTAAAGTAACAAATAATATTGGGGTTAATACAAATGTTCAGGACATCAGAGTAGCTAAAAATTTAGTCTACTATAATCTTTCAAAATACGACAGTCTCTGGGTGCCGTGCCTCCGATTCCGTGATCTTCAGGAATTAACGTTGTTTCTTCTTCCACTTCGTGGCATGGGAGGGTACTGATCCTTACGGCTCTCCCACTGAAGCCTCCTTTCTTCTTATCGGCTTCCGCTATAGTACTTATCGTGCGTGATCGTCACGATAAGAGAATTCTTATTTTTCTTACGTTTTTCTCGACCGTTTCTCACTTGTTAATTCGGTTGTTCTGTTTTGTTCTAGCAAATAAAGCCACTTTCTGTGTTTCTCAGAAATCTTCCGACGCCATTCAAATTTTTGAAATTTTGCTTCTCGACCCTCCTTTTCTTGATTAATTTGTCATTAACAACGTTAATACTCTTTTTCTTGTTCGTCGGAGGGTTCGGCGGTGTCAATCCGGCGGAATGGCACATACTCCCCGGGCAGTCCCCTTCAATGTCCCCATTGAACGCATAACGCCGGGTTATATTCAGGTGGTGATCCAGCTTTCCATAATCATCTTACAAATCGCATTAGAAAAATGAAATTTATCTACTACACCTCAACTCACCGCGTTTCATAAATGGCATTGTACTACAATTCACTGCCTTTCAACATTTTCACAAAATTTGCACTATGAGGAGTGTCCTAGATAAAATTTCTTTTCTGAATACTTACGTCACTCCTCCGTAAAATTTCTCCTCGCTCTTGCTGATTAAAAAATTGGGATGTGATACGGCCACGCACCCGTTAAAATTACTTTAATGTCACTCACCAAGTATATTCATTCATTTATGCGTTTGCTCTCAAAATTAAAACTAAGAAACTCTGTGGCTAGAAAAAGGTAATGAGGTACTCACCCTCTTCGAGCAAGCGTACCCACCCTATAAGGTTGTCACAAAGTGAAGATATGTCCTAGACAGGTTAAAAACTCCAGTCAGGTTTGAATAGGTAAATATACTCGCCTAAAGCCTATATATGTATATATAAATAACATCAACTAAAATTCTTCATAAAATTCAATAATTTAACAACAACTGTAACAATTTCAAGTCTGGTTTGACCAAACTGCATCAAAACAAAAAGATTAAAAATTTCATTAATCAATCTTGGTTGATTAGTTCAAGTTTTTACATACAACGACAAAAAAAATTCTTTTCTCTCAAGTCTTTAATCTTCGTCCATCACTTCTGGTTCCTTGCTCAATGTCTTCTAGAATTTTTTGCAGCATATCCACAGAGTTTCGGGCTGTGCCCCAGCTTTCCTGCTCCAGCAACCTCTGTTTGCAGCAGGGTAGTAGGTCCACATTTACTTTCTGCTCTCTGTTCTAGGTCAGCTTGTAGGACCTCTTTCCTTTCCTTTTGAGTGGTGCAAGACATCCCAGCTACTCGCTTCACTGCCGTGGTCACAGCGTTCCTATGTGCCAGGAATGCTCTCTTATAGGCTCCCGGTCCTATGTCCAGCTGGAAAGATCGATAGGCTGCCGTGTTTCGGGACAAATGACGATCGCGCGTTCATACACCCATGCCGTCATCTCCGGACGGAACGAAGGCATCAATCTTTGTCTTGCCCAAATTCTTTCTATTTCTTTCGGTATCCTCAAAATTTTGCAGGTCATTTTGAGCAGATCCAGTCTTTTGCTGATGCTCACTCGGCTCAATTGCTCCGGATTTGGCACGGCCATCTCCTGTTCTATCGGCCCTGCATTGGCTTCCAGCCATCTTGATTACTTGAGCCACTGAAGCCCCTCCAAAGGAGATCACATTAGTTTGTCCTCCTACTAGAACTGGGTTCAAATCCCTCACCAGGATGTCCCCTATGATTAGGTGTTGGCTGCCCGTCGGCACCGATTGGTGGATCGCCGCTGGATTCCAAGTCATACCGTTCAGGCAGGCTCTGGGGTGTTCCGCTGCGAATTGCACGAAGGTCCTTCGGGTGTTGAGGTCCGGCTCTGTGGGATTCGTTGATTTTTCCTTTCTGATGGTTGACTGGCCCGCTCGCTGAGTAGGAACAATCCTGCCCAAGATTCGGTCTCTCGCTCGGTTTATTTCTTGTATCGCAGCTTTGGCCACTTGCTCAAATATCTCTGGAACTAAGTAGCCAGGTAAGCGTCCGAGGGGTCAGGTATCGTGTTTCTCGCGTTTGAAGGCGAGCTCACTCACTGTGGGGCCGTCACCTCACTGGGTGTATAAAGTTCCTGAGTCTTGGATTTGGCTGTCGTCTCGATATTCATCATCGCCAGAACCTCCCGCGACAACTTGCTGACTGTAGCATTATGGAGCTCCTTCAAGTAATTTATCTCCTCTTCCCTGAAGAGGGCCTGCAGCTCTTCGTATTTACGTTTCCATTCGTCACATTCTTTCCCCTTTATCTTGAAGCTCGTTCAACCTCGTGCTTAACTGCTTCCAGTTTTTGTCTTTCTTCTCCAGTGTTTCACTCGTCTCTGCCGTTTGTATCTGAATTTCGTTCATTCTGACCTTTTTCATTGGAGAAGCCGCTGTTGGGGAGTCTGCTGAGTGTGATGGGCCCGGCCCGTCACTTAATCGCTTGGCTCCAAGGAGAAGCTGTACAGGCTGAACAGGTATGGGCATTTCCCCTAACCGTTAGTCCCTCTGCTCGCCCAGTCCAGGTTCATGAGCTAAGTCGTGACCCGGCATTTCCCCTCGTCGCCATCTCATGAGTCGGTTACGACCTCTCTCGGTGGTCCCGGACGCGCCAAAGGCCAACATCCGGGCCACCTACGTGGGGCGTTCCCCGCCAGCTTCCTTTCCCAACGCATTGAGGAGTGCGACGGTGAATATCGCCCGCTCCGTTCCTCCAATCCAAAGTTGCAATCAATCACCTCGTCCAGAGCCGATCCCAGTCTCGCTGAGACAAAATTCATCAAATCGTTGGTATCACTCATTCTTCTTCGTGTGTGACTGTTCGTGTTTCTCTGATTCAGTTCAAGTTCAACAAAAAAAAGTACGATTAATTAAGATCTAAAAAACAAGTCACGACTTAGATTAATCGTTCCGAGCTGTTTCATCTCTAAGATAAAACATCCTTCACATCTGTTAAAAGCAGTCCATCGAAACTCTTTTGTTTTCAGTTTAAAAACTAGCAACAAGGCCGATCGTCCACCTGCGATCTTGTCAGAATAATCATAATTGAGCGCTGTCACCTTTCGTTCCTGGAGTGTTCACGCTTCCATGACATAAGTATCTTTGAAAACATAACCTAACCATAACATAACATTCAATATATCACATATCAACACTATCACATAAAGACCTAATACCTAATAATTAACCTAAAATTTAATTCCAATGACTAAAAAGTAAACCTAATAAAGACTATTTAACACTGAATATGG